TTGTAAGTTACAAAGTACGCCTGGCGCGCGAGGATCATTTCATCGTCTTTTACATCTCTAATTTGGGTTAAGCAGTACAGTAAATATGCTAATTAAATCAGGTTTAACAGTAAATGTATAAATCGGCCGGGCCGATTTGCATCTCTACTTAACACTAAACTATATTTAACATCAATCCTCTTTAACCATATACTGGTTTTGTATAACGCAAAATTGGAGATTTGACAGATCAAATGAAACGAGAATTTCTTGAATTTCTTGAATTAGAAAGATCTCATAAAGAAGACGAGAAACTCTTAACATATTTGGACATTTAAGTATATAATTCACCTTAACACTTTAAAAAAAAAAACTTGATTCTCTCTTTTTTTTTTTTTTGAATACATATAAATAAATATATATTTTTTTTGCCCTCGAATTCTTTTTTTTTTTTTATGAAAAACGAGCAGGAAACTTGAATCTATCCTTTTTTATTTTTCCTTTGCTCTCTTTAAAACAAAAAAAAAAGAAAAAACAAAAAAAAAAAGTCCAAATCTTGCATCAAGCTTTTCGAAAAAAAAAAAAAACTGTACCGCACAAAATAATACAAAAAAGGGTAATGAGCCCTGCCAAAAAAAAAAAAATATATCGATAAAAAATGATGAAAAATGAAATGAAATGCGTTCACTTTATACAAGAAAAGGGTTCGGGAAAAAGATGAGGTGAAAAATCATATGAGGATCAAATGAAGAAGGGAATCAATGATAATAAGTGATTTGAATCCTCTCCTAGTTATAATTCTCGTGATGTAAGTTTTCTAAGAAAATAATAATAATAAATCTAGACTTCTCGAAAATCAGTGTCAGTCCATACAATAGTAAAATCCCTAATAGCTACATTACTTAATCCTTCAAAAGTTTGTTTATAAGAATTATTTTTAAACGGTCTATCAAATGGATATCCTAAAGGTCTAATATCCGGAATTTTATCAGTACATTTATTTTCACCAGACTGTAGCAATTACATTACGTATTT